GCCCTCGCTCCCAAGGCCCAATGCCGGGCGGGCCGGGCATTGCCAGAGGCGGCTGTTTACCTGGCACTGCTGCCCCTGGAAAGTGTCACCCCAAGCACCTGCTTGATTTGCTGGCGCCTAGAGCCGCCTTGTTCCGGGAAGCAGGAAGCAGCTCAGGAGCAACAACGGCTCTTGGGTGAGTGAGCGCTGTCAAGGAGTCAGTTTTGCGGTTTGGATTTCCCTGCTGCCTCAGTGGCGAGCAGGGCCGGGCTAAGGGGTGGGCTAGCCAGGCAGCTGCCCAGCTGCCCACCTCCGGGGGCGCCTGGCTCCTGGTGGGCTGCAGCAGCCGCCCAGGGTGGGGGCTGTGTTAACCCCCGCAGCACCGGCCAGCAGTACCCTTCCCCCCATGGCCGCAGGGCCCTGCACAACCTGTGGTCCGCTCACGCATCCCGGGGGTGGGCCCGCGCATGTGTTGTGCACCTGGAGGCAGGGCTGTATGTCCCCGGGGCAGGCCTGCGCATGCGCCGTGCGCCTGGAGGTAGGGCCGTGTGCCCCAGGGGTGGTGCCGTGCGCCTGGGGCCCGGGGCGCCAAAATGGCTCGGGCCGGCCCTGGTGGCGAGAGCAGGCTATTAACAGGGTCCTGGGCTGGGGTCCAGTGGAGTGGGAGGGCCTGGGCCCCTCCGCCCCTTCCTCCCTCCCCCCCCCCGCTGGGGGGGGTAAACCTTTCCCCTATCTACTGACTCTTCCAATTGACTTCAACCTTTGGGCTACTATGGGACTATTATCTGTGCTGCCCTGACAAAAGGGGTCAATTGAGGTTTATAAATGCTTGGTAGAGATCCTGAAGTTTCTGGTCTGCAAGTGGGATTAGAGCAGATGGAGTTGTATCGAAGGGCTTGGCTATAGATGATGGATCGTATGGTGTGTTCTGGATGGGAGCTGGAAGCATGAAGGTAGCTGTATGAATCAGTGGGTTTTCTGTAGAGAGTTGTGTCTAATTTACCATTGGTGATTTGTACTGTGATATCCAGGAAATGGATCTCTCGTGTAGAATGGTCCAGGCTGAGATTGATGGTGGGGTGTCGTTTGTTAAATCTCTGTGGAATGTCTCCAGATGCACACAAATGCACACAAAACGGATATCAGACAGTATCAAAAAGAAAAAACAGTTTCTTCCCATTTCAACCAGAAAGGGCATTGTCTCAATTACTTGATTACCTGCATACTGCTTCAAAGGCATTTTCACACCAGACTTGGAATGGAAACCTCTGAACTGTCATTCATGCTTAAATTTGACACTTTACGCCGGGGATCTTAACAAAGACGCTAATTACCTTAACCATTACAAAAATAGTTTCCCCGATTATCACCTCTAATATCATTAGCTCACAGACATTTACCTCCCCCGTCCATCCCCCCTCTGTTCTGAAATTTGATTTGTCCTTTTAATATGTGTTCACTTTTTTGATTGTATCCCTTTGGTATATATGGTCATGCCTATTTTCTTCCACAATTTGATCTGAGGAAGTAGGTCTGGCCCACGAAAGCTCATCACCTATTAAACCATCTTGTTAGTCTTTAAAGTGCTACACAGTCCTGTTAATCATTTTTGTTGTTCTTCTGTGGACTACCTCCAGTTTTTCCACATCTTTGTTGAAAAGTAGAGCCCAGAACCAGACACAATACTCCAACTGAGGTCTAATCAATGCAGAGTAGAGTGGAAGACTGACTTATCATGTCTTGTTCACAACACTCCTGTTAATGAAGCTCAGAATCATGTTTGTTTGGTTTTGGGGGGGGTTTTTTTGCACAACAGTGGCACATGTTTAGCTTGTGGACCACTATGACCCCTAGATCCATTTCTGCACTATGACTTCCTAGACACTCACTTCCCATTTTCTATGTGTGAAACTGATTGTTCCTTCCTAACTGAAGTACTTTGTATTTGTACTTATTAAAAACTTCATCCTATTTACCTCATTGAACATTTCTCCATTTGTCCGGACAATTTTGAATTATGACCCTGTCCTCCAAAGCACTTGCAATCCCTCCCAGCTTCGTATCATCTGGAAACTTAATAAGCATACTCTCCATGCCAATATCTAAATTGTTGATGAACTGGTACCCAAACTGACCCCTCTGGAATCTCACTTGTTATGCCCTTTTAGCATGACTGTGAACCATTAATAACTACTCTCTGAGGGAATGGTTATCCAGTCATTTATGTACCCACCTTATATTAGCCCCATCTAGGTTGTATTTCCCTAGTTTATTGATAAGAAGGTCATGCAAGACCATATCAAATGCTTTACTAAAGTCTAGGTATACCAGGTCCACTGCTTTCCCCTTATCCACAAGACTTGCTATCTGATCAAAGAAAGCTATCACATTGGTAGGACATAATTAAGGAATTCATCTGCAAACATCTGAAAAATAATAAGGTGATAGATGTAAGCAGGGGCTGAACTGCTGCTTGCTATCAGACAGCTAAAAGGAGGGGTAGGTGTGCCCACTACAGTTGTTGAGCTCTGCAAGGTAATTAACTGTTAACTGTTGATATGTAAATACAGCTCAGGAGAGAATCCAAGGTGTGGCTCTGTAAAGCCCATTCAGCCAGGGCTGATGGAAGGTCAGTGTTGGAATGGAATGTGGAGAATTGTAAATAATTTGGGCCTGTTGTGGGGGTCATTAATCATGCTACCCCTAAAAGTGGGAACTGTAAAACATGCCACCAGTGCTTGCAGGAGAGACACCACCATCATGGTAAGAGGTCTCAGAGGAACAAGCCTCCCCCCTTCCAGAGTTGAGTGAACTGAGCTGGGGGGAAGAGTTAAAGGGCTTGAGTCAGCCTGCTTCACACCTACCAGGTGTGAGCTGTAAGACTGGCCCAGCCTGCCCCTTTCTCTCTTTGTTTTAAGGACAGACCTAAAGCAGACTCCTTGAGGAGTCTTTTCTTTTGCTAGTCCAGTGGAAGCTGGATTCCTTTGCCAGTCTAGCTGGTGTCTGGGACTCTGGGTGACACAGACCAGGGACAGAGACTTTTGGGGTGTCAGTGGCAGTGACCAGCGGAGGGGCTGGTAGGAATCACTGGCTGATGGCGTAACGTGGCTGGTAGGAGCAGCAGCAGGCGAGGAGTGGCGACCAGCGGTGGCGGCTGACCAGCAGAGCGTCTGGTGGCATGGGACGAGACAGCTGGTAGAGCGTGGTGGAGTGTCCGAAGGTGCCCTCTATCTATCCCCCCACTCCCATTTCTACCCAGGTTGGGAAGTGAAACCCTGCAGGTGAACTCTGGGACTCTGGGTGACACAGACCAGGGACAGAGACTTTTGGGGTGTCGGACTCTTTGGACTTGAGGTGATTCTTGGCTGGGGGG